TTAAACCTCCTTCGTGGTCAGTCGGACCAGAGGTTGGAATTGGTCCTTGACTGTTAGGCGAAGTGAAGCTTGATCCACATAGCCAGATTGGGCCTGATCAGTCCGAATTAGAGGGAACTGGTGTATAACGAACGCCTGATACATGTAACAGTTCTGTTAGAAACCTTCAATTTGATGTTTTCTCAATTGCCCCATGTGATCGATCCTTCACCGATGAAACTCACTGGGAAGACGACACGGCCATGCTTAACGCCCGATTATTGAATAAGGCGTGCATGGCCACAGTAAAATGGTGACACGGAGTCACGGGGCGAAGGGTCCCACGATGCTCAGCGAACGGCCATCGTTCACTTTTTAGCAGGCGAGCGTGTAGACCAGAAGTGATTAGCTAGTGGAGTCAAATTAATATCTAGGGATTCTAGTGCATGTAGTGAATAGTAGTGACCTGTTAAACACCGATTTCACCGATTCAGGACTTTTTCCGTACGTTTTTCAAACCACTTACTGTTTGGTGGGCTTCAGATCTCCGTTGCACGCTACAGTGACTTTCTATTGCCAAGGACCATTGTTCCTTGTGAAGAAGGACACCGCTCTCGTCTGAAGGAAGCGCCTGTGCATCGGGACCATCTCCACAATCCGTTATACCAGGCTATCTCCAAAACACCACACCACCAAACCAAACCGCCATCGCACGACAGCCAACGAACAGTAGACGCGCTAGTCAGACCGCCATCGCTGTAGTTGCTGGTAGAACAGTCGGTGGTATCGCCAACTTTTAATACGAAACTAACGATTTTAAATTACCTCACTACTTGACTAGCCTATTGGTCCCAAGAAAACGATTAACTTACCTCATTCTAGTCGAAATTCTAGTACTACGCAATGTTTGTTTTGATTCGCTATGAAAGTATGACAGATAAAATGAGGGGTTATTGGTTTTTCCTATGTTTCGAAGGGTGAATCGATTAGCTTGGGACCGAAGATAGTACCAGAGCTGAGCCAAAAAGTTGAGCACGTTATTTCGGGACCTTCTAGTCTTAGAGTTACCTCTATGGTATCGCTATCTTACTGACAAGATCAGCCTTTTATTGTCCACCATCGCCAGAATCGTTCTGATTTTTTAGAGAGCGCTCGCTGTACTGCATTTGTCGTAGTTGTCGTAAAGGTATGTGCCAGAATATCCAACACACCACTCTACTCACTCCTCAGAAATGTTTAGACAATATAGTGGTTAAGTGGTTGTCACTCGAATCCCATTGAGTATGCTCAATCGTTCTCGGCTATGCTTTCACTACCACACTCTCATCAAGGTGGATTATCCCAAAGATGGTCATACTTTCAAATTCACGAAGTTTGACGGAATTGTGCACTTTGGAAGCCCTCAATCTCTCCGTATACTGCTGCCTGTGCTCTTCACAGTCGTCCTAGACCCATTTTGGATGTAGAGAGAGGGTCTTCCAACCTGCTCTAGTAGGGAAGTACCACGTTAATGTTGTATTGCCTCTTCGTGATGTCTGTTCGAATTCCAGTGGTATTGTATGCAGCTCTTCACCTTCCACCACGGCTCCATCGGTCGACAACGCATCTGTTACAGTTAGCGCTGTAAACATAGCTCATCTCCTGCGCATATACTACCAGAATGTTCGAGGACTACGGACCAAGGTAGATTCGTTCTTTTTGTCCACTAGCGAGTGCGATTATGATGTCATTGTATTGACGGAGACATGGCTCGATGACCGTTTATACAGTGCTCAACTGTTCGGAAATGCCTTTTCGGTTTAGCGCACAGACCGTAATGCCTCCAACAGTGCAAAAACCCGTGGTGGAGGTGTCCTAATCGCTGGTTCATCTCGTTGAAACAGTTATTTCGATCCGACACCAGTTTCCGATGATCTAGAACAGCTGTGGGTTAGAATCACTACGCCAAGTCGAGTTATAAGTGTAGGCGTGATCTATTTACCTCCTGACCGCCGCAACGATGTCATTGGTATTGGTAGGACAGGGTAGGACCATGTGGACTCCATCGGTGCTATTGTTTCCAATTTGGAATTCAATGACTATGCTCTGCAGCTCGGAGATTATAACCAGCCTTTGCTCCGGTGAAGTAAGTCGTACGATGGGTCTTTCCAGGTTTAGCCTCAATCGGTTCTATCGGCTGCTAGTTCAACGCTTTTCAACGGTTTCGCTTTACATGGCCTCACGCAGATCAATGGTGTATGGAATAGGAACGCTCTCTTTCTAGATCTTGTTCTGTCTAACGAAGCTGCAACTCTGGCATGCACTGTTTCGGAAGCCATAGAAACTCTGATCTTTCTTGATGCTGCTTTAAACGTCCTGATGAACCTCCCAGCGCCAATCGTTTTTGAGGATTGTTCCAAAAATAATCGTACACTGGATTTCCGTCGAGCCGACTATGTTGCGATTAGTGCTGCTAATTCCGGTATCGATTGGCGACCATAAGAATTAGCTGGATGTGTTGACAATGCCGTTGAATATTTCATTTTTTATGGTCTAACGGTCACTTGCATCGACTGAAACGGTATAGGGCTAAATCGCTACGAAGATACTGCCAAAATCGTTCGTACATTACAAAGCAGGAGTTCAACCGCACACGTAACGACTATATGAAATACAACAGATTCCTGTATCGACAATATGTCTTCCATACGCAATTATCTCTTCGCAGAAATCCAAAGCGTTTCTGGTCGTTTGTAAACTCTAAAAAGAACGAAGTCGGTTTGCCATTGTCAGTTCATCTCGGTGAGCAAACCGCTGAATCTGAACAGGAGAAATGTCGCCTTTTTGCTCAACATTTCATGAGTTCGTTCAATGAATCTTCGGCCTCACTAAATCAAGCCACGATTGCTATAAGCGATTCTCCAACAGATGCATTTGAGCTCCGTCCGTTCCACATCAGTGAACATACCGTCAATCTAGCTCTTCAAAGGTTGAAACTCTCGTTTGCTGCCGGGCCAGACGGCATTCCTGCGTCCGTTCTGAAGCTGTGTTCGGAGTCGTTGCTCACTCCATTGGTGAAGTTATTTAATCTGTCACTACAGTAGAGTAAATTTCCTGAGGCGTGGAAATTTTCGTAAATGTTCCCCGTCCACAATAAAGGTGATAAAAGGAATGTCCAGAATTACATCACTATGTTGCTGCTCCAAAGTATTCAAGATCATCATCAATGAAGCGCTCTTCAGCTCTTGTAAACATTACATCTTCACGGCTCAGCATGGATTCTACCCAAAACGGTCAGCTACAACCAATTTGACCGAATTCTTGTCGCTCTGCTTTCGGACAATGGACTCTGGCGGACAATGGACTCTGGCGGACAATGGACTCTGGCGGACAAATCGACGCGGTTTACACTGATCTCAAGGCTGCATTTGACCGAGTAGACCTCAACATTCTTTTGATCATGCTAGAGAAACTCGGAGTGTCTGGATCCTTCATCTCGTGGTTCATATCTTACCTTACGAACCGTTCGCTTTGCGTTAAGATTGGAGCTTCTCGTGCTGAAGTGTTCACGAACGTTTCCGGCGTTCCCCAAGGAAGTAATCTTGGACCCCTTCTGTTTTCGCTTTTCGTCAACGAGCTTTCGTGTCTACTGCCATCTAGATGCCGGCTATTCTACGCTGACGATGTCAAAATGTATGTGGTTATCAATTGCATCGCTGATTGTGGATCGTATGCAGAGTTGGGGCTCCCGTAATTTCTTGACGCTCAGCAACAAGTGCAATATGATATCATTTCACCACAAACAAAATCAGATAATATTTGATTATTCCATTTCCGGGCAAACATCAGAGAGGATTAGCCAGGTCAAAGATTTGGGAGTAACACTCGACTGTGAATTAACCTTCAAACCGCACTATAATTACATCCTGACTAAAGCTAACAGGCAGCTTGCCTGTGGGCGCTGTATTGTTCGTTAGTACGTTCGATCTTAGAGTTAGAGTATAGTGCTGTCGTTTGGTGCCTATACCAAGTATGCTGGATAGCCAGATTTGAGAGTGTACAGAGAAAGTGTGTTCGCTACGCGCTTCGTTATCTGCCTTGGCGTGACACGGCTAACTTGCCGTCTTACGTGGATCGCTGTCGTCTGCTTGGAATTGACACCTTAAAACAAAGAAGACGGAACGCTCCAGCTGTGTTTGCTGCTAAGATCATTACCAGCGAAATTGATTCCCCCGAATTACTTCGGCAGCTTTTCTTTTACGCACCTGAGAGAGTGATTAGACAGCGTAATTTTGTACATCTCGCAGCTCGTAACCGGCAATATGGGTTGAATGACCCTATCAGGGACGCCACTAATGCGTTTAATGACGTCTATGCATTGTTTGAATTTAATGTGCCGTTAACTGTTTTTATTAGAAGATACTACATCTCTAGTCTGAACCTGTGTATCTTGAAAAATGTTATAAGGCTACCTTGATGACATTGATCCTGTCGATATTTATTGCCGCTGCAGTCTTAGCATGCCATAACAAACTTAGCATATGAAAACGTGATAGCGTGAGTACGTGCGTGATAAAAACGTCAGAAAAGTTGATTATTATTTTGAGAACCGTTGACGCTTCAGCCGACCAACTTAACGAAACTCGATCGTATCTCACCAATCATTTGAACGATCCTCACTTGACGACTCAAGTCTCTCCCGCGATCTTCTCTCTCTATGCTCTCTGTCCCAACCAGCTGTTGCTTACTGATAACAACAGCAGCCTCTCGCTCAAAGTTTACCCAAAGCAATGCCTGAGCGACTTCGTTCAAACAACCGTCCTCCCAAACGGTTTCATTCGTTGCGAACACGTTGCGATCTTCATTTACTGGCCTCCATGCGAATGCAACTTGCGCCCAGGAAAGAAGCAAAATAAGCGAGAGCCAAACCGCAAAACTCATGCTACCAAGGAGAGAGCGAAATGATCATACCAAAACGTTAGGTTTGACACCGTTGGGCTTGGGAAGCCTTCGCCAAAATGTCAGTTGATCGTAGCAGGCCGTCGAGTTCGGAAGTAGTGCACCTTTCGCAGCGCAAGTAGGCTCCATCGGGAGGAAGAAAGACATTTGTGTTAAGGTGAACGCGCGCGCACGTTCGCATTTGAATCGATCACGTTTTGTTGGTTTATTGGATTTTGCAGCAGCAGCAGCAGTAACTTTTCGAAAGTGCGCTCTTGTAGTAAAGTTGTAGACGAGTGGAACGGAATTTTAAGACGCTGGGCGCTTTTGTTTTGAGACGATTTCGGTGGTCGCGTGTTGGGAGCTTATTTCGCCGATCATCTTTATTATCGTTGAAGTGTTGTGTGTATGTGGAAGTCGCCAGTGAAAGAGGAGTGAAATCGTGAAAAAAAATATCTGCTCAATTATTAAAAGGTGAAAATCACTCGTTAAGTTTGAGTGAATTTTTCGATTGTGATTTAAAAAAAAAAAGTGAACCAAAAGCATTTCAGAGGGTGAAAATACGTGCTTTATTGTTAAGGAGAAAATTTCTGCGGGAAATAAAACATCTTGAACCGGGAAACTGTTAATTAATGAACGAAAAGAAAACAAGAGGAGAACGAGGAGAGTCTCTGACCAGCAAACAGTCCGGAGTGTAATGGTTGAGGTTTGCAGAACCGGGTGCAGCCTAGCGTAACCAAAACCTTCTTTGAAGGAAAACTAATTCCCCTCCGAGTTTGTGCCCGTGAAGCACGGAGAGCAGCAGTGCAAGGTGAAACGAGTTCGATCATAAGAATCGTGTGGAACTTGAGGTTGCCGTGGAGCAAAGTAATCTAGAAAAAGGGATAGGTCTTTGATGTTGCTGTGAGCTGTGAGCGAGGAAAAGGCAAGGCCAACGCTATTTACGCCACTCTGATGCTGACATAAACAGCGACTACTACGATTGGCAGAGCAAGGAAAACACACAGGTAAGTCGCGTGTTGGTTTGAACATTCCCAGCCTACTGTCACAAAAAAAAAGAGAAGGGCACACTCTTTCGTTTATTCTTGCTGGCGAATGAACTTGAGAGCTGAACCAAAAATAAAATTGAGAAAATTACAACTTGATCAGGAAAGGAATCTAGTGAAACTACCGTTTTTTTATTCGACGCATGAATCGGGAGTGGGAAAAATTGGGGACAGTTCCTTTCGAAACAGGGAACCAGCAAATATAATGGGAAAGCAAAGTTGACTGAACGATGAATTTTAGCGAAGAGGTATGACTTCTGAAGCGTAGTCGTTTTGCAGAAAAAGTGCTAATTTGATAGATTTTTTTTTAGCGTGATGATATGACTAATAGCTGTCCCAGACTCTAAGCTTCATGGTGAAAGTACGACCATGCAGTTAAGAATCTGTATTACAATGAATTAGCCGCATTATAATAACAGTTGAATGACACAGATTTTTGAAGCGTAGATCCCAAGATCTATTTGTCATATGTTTAAAATACCTCAACAGGATGGTTCGTTTCCAATTATGTTGGAAAGATAATGCAGACCGTTGACAAAATTGTTTATCGACTATCGTAGATATCAACCAGAACTACCAAAGTTCTGCCGCAGCACAGTGATTCAAACAAACCAAAATCGAGCGTATTTTAATATAAGGTGTGTAGTCTAGTGTTTCTGAATGGCCATGGGACCCGGGAAACAGCGAGAATTGGGAAATATTTTAGTTCAAAGACCAGAAAAGAATAAAGTTGCATTCATGACAGTTACTCAACAGAATTTTTTATTTAGCTTCTACAGATAGAGTTCTAAAGCATTGAATACTTGATCAACTTGATTTTAATATTTGTTCTACCAATGAACAGCCTTAGATTCCAACTTTTTCCGTAATTTGTAGTTACTTCTACTCTCAGGAATTTCTTTTGGCCCTGAAGATTTCTTGCAAAAGTCTCTTCCAACTTTTCCAGCAATGTTCATCTGATTTCATTGGACGCTTCTTCCAGAAGTACTTCTCACTTCCACGACAGCTTGTTTTGACTTCCGCTAGAATGTTCATTCAACTTGTTCAGCGTGTTTATGACAACAATCAGTGGAAGTTTCTATTCAATCGTTTTAAACTACCCCAGATTTCGAAATCCCCGGAAGTGTCTTTCGACTTCCTTGATTTGTCTTATTGGCTTCGCAGTTTTTCCTGGCCTCCCCCGGAAGTTTCTTCTGGCTTCCTTCGGTAAATTCTTCCGACTTCTTCTAGAACATTCTTCAGATTTCTCTGGAAGTTAATTCAAACTTGCTTTTTATAAGGTTCTTTTGGGTCTCCTCTGGGATATTTATTGTGATTGTTACCTAAAAATTCGTCTGAACTTGTTTCCCGGAAAAGTGGAACAGATTTACGGGAATCGGGAAACGTGATTGGTTCTTAGAATTATGAATTCATCAGATGGTATAATTATATTTTGTACTACACTTAATTTTACATGACATGTTTGTTTACGTTTCATCCTTTATGTCAAAGATGGATTCCGTCACTTTTTAAATTAGGTATTTCTAAGAGTGTCTTCATTGGATCTAAGTGATTATCAGGATCAAAAATACATAATTTTCAAGATTAAGGTTGATCACCTTCCAGTGGACACTCAGTACTTAGAACCAGGTTGGGGGTTGGTTTTGTTAAAATATTAATCAGCACTACCCATAAATACCTGTTTTTGTCGATTTCCAGCATCATCTTGTTCGTCTAGTACCTTTTCTCTTTCCGATGGCCTCTCTTTTTTTTTTGTCTATATTATAGAGATTTTTAGCCATATGGCTAGTTCATCTCGTGAATGGCCTCTCTGAAATCCGGAATAAACCCGGAACCACTTGGCCAATCTGTTCCAATTTTTAGTAGACCATAATTTCGAACATTTTTCTGATTACTTTGAATTTCATGGTGAAACAAAAAAAGGTATACCCATGCTAAAATTGCTATTCGTAAAAATAAAAACCACACAAAGCGCGTTAGGCCCTCCCCAAAAGTAAAGCAGGTGGTGTTAATTTTGTTTTCCGTACTGAGCACCAAAAAGGTGACCCAAGAGACCTTTCTCAGTGGAATTTACAGCTAGAAATCTAGAGTGTGTGAGAGATCTGGTGTTAATGGTACTGAATATAAACAAAGCAGAAATTCATATGAGAATAAACTGCCAGTTCTACTGTGATCTGTCAAAAGTTCTTGGTAAACAAAAAAGTCAGCTGATCGAACTGTCTCGCGGACAGCCTTAAGGTGCCGACGACAGGGAGGCAGCTCCCACACCTGGACCCTACCTATCGACCCATCAACTCATAGACCGGGGACCAACGGTTTTACTTTCCTTCCGAAGGAAGGCGTGATCAGAGATGTTATGCCGGAGAACATCCGACTGGGATTGAACCCAGGCCTTTTGGGGTGAGAGGCAATCATGCTTGCCACTACACCACCGGCGCTGCTTTGGTGGTGGTCATTTGAAACGCTAATAAATTTTCGGCGTTAACTCGGATTCACATCCGGTCTTCAGCCATGATGTTCCCAAAACTCCAAAGGTTATACATTTTGTAAACGAAGAAAGCCAGCCAACTATAGCGCCACCTAGACCCACGAATGTAGAAGTCACTCGTTTTCGCATACATTTTGTCTATTTTCCCCATACAAACTTGAACCCCTCGCTCCTAGGGCTTGAAGTTTGTGAACCAAATTACTTTAAATTTTAGCAGCGTGTTTCAGGCCCCCAAGCTATCATTCCGGGGGGTAGCGTTTGAAATCCCAGGATTGACCTATTTTGAAACACTCTAGTGGCTACTGATCAACTTTAAGTTTATGGAAAGTCTATTGATGAAAAATCATGAAGAAAGAGCTGTCGCAATCCATGTTTCGGTGTAAACTTGCAGTTGTCCCCTGCTACCGGTCCCCCGAGGGCATCCCTGTGGTTCCAATGTGGTCATTGCTGCATATAAAGTCCATCCATTAGCCTATTCATGAAAAACACGAAGAAAGAGCTGTCGCAAGGCATGTTTTGGTGTTACAATGCAATTGTCCCCTACTACAGGTTCCCTCGACGGCATCCCTGTGGTTCCGAGAGCAGCCAATGTGGTCAAAGATCCATTTAAAGTCTATCGATAGCCTATTGATGAAAACCCATGAAGAAAGAGCTTTTAAAAGGCATGTTTTGGTGTAAAAAGGCAATTGTCCCCTACTATACTATCCCGTGGCTCCAAGTGCGGACAATGTGGTCAATGGATCCTGTTGCGACCCCTCGGTTGGCGCGCCTTTAGTAAAACGAACCGTGCGTTCAGCATGAACATGAACCGTGTGTTCAGCAAGGAAGCACAAGCCGTCACGTCAACGCGGCCGGCTCTCATTTGCTTCGACTGTCACTCATACAACTGCATAGCTTACTTACTTACATAAGGGTCCTGTACACCACCGGAGGTGCAAAGGGCCAACGTGAAAGACTTCCGCCCTGGGCGGCTGCTTGCTTTTGCCTTGACCCAGGTCAGATTCCTATCGACTTGCTTTATTTCCTTGTTGAGGCTCCGCCGCCATGAGCCCCTGGGTCTGCCTCTGCTGCTGCTTTGTCCTACCTGATTCCAATCCAGCGCTTGCTTGCAGATTTCGTTTCCGCCCCTTCGAAGTGTGTGGCCGACTCACCTCAACTTTCGCTCTCAAATTTCTGTTGCTATCGGCTTCTGATGACATCGACGATGGAGCTCGGCATTCGAGATCCAATTGTGAGGCCACCAGGCAAGAATTGTATACCGCAGACATCGGTTGATGAAGACCTGCAGCTTCTGAGTGTTCTCCGCTGATACACACCACGTCTCGCTGGCGTATAACAACACAGATTTCACGTTCGAGTTGAAAAATAGGATTTTGGTGCGTTGACTTATATGGTTTGATCTCCATACATTTCGTAAATTCGCAAAGGCAGCCCTAGCCTTCCTGATTCGTGCACCTCGCCGTCCGACACTATTTGGCTGCCAAGATATTGGAGACTTTCGACCTTCTCCACTGCTTGCCCCGCTACTGTAAAGTTGGAAGGGTTGCCTGTGTTGACATCCAACGATTTGGTTTTGTCGACGTTGATGGTGAGACCATTAAATGTTGTAGTTGAACACTTACTTCATTTTAGCAAGTCTAAGATCACAACATTATTAACGTCTTGACGTCTCGTACTAACAAAATTGTGGAAACTTTAATGAAGTTCTATTGATCTCAGAAAACCTCGATCTAGAGATCTTCGGGGAGTTCCAGAAATCTACATGGTACATGGTGAGAGTTTGGGAGAGTTTCTGTACAAACGACAGTGGCGTAGCTAGGGTAGGGTGAGGCTACTCCCGAACATACTCACCCACCCTGAAATGTCCTACATTTCTGAATAATTCTTCCTTGGTGCCAATTCTCGATCATTGTAGTATTCGCCTTTCTCATCCTTGGTCCAACGTGCTGTCCTTGAATCGGTATATTTCTGTTGACTTGCACAACTCACCCACCGTGAAGACCTGCGTCTGCCACTGATGACGCTATCGCACCGCTCTTCTCTCTCCGTTTCCATTCATGGTTTCGGTACCAGGCCGATGTTATTTGGCTATCTTGCAGCTTCTGCGCTCCTATTCCCTGTATATCGGTTCTTGGGTGCTTGATCCTGGTTGATGTCCTTGTGACCGATTCCTGTCTCGGTAGTTTACGCCTTGCCGATGTTCCTTGGTTGGACGGATGATCCTTCCGATGTTCACGTTATTTGGAAGACCCTTGGTATCGCTAACCGTGAATCCGTGGGATGGAACTCGCTGTGCTTACATGTACATGTATTGCTTGATTCCTTTCTTTGGTTGATCTGACTTCTCGGTTGCCCGGATGATCCTTCCGTGATTCGCCCATTTTGCGCCCATTGGATGGGTGCTATTCTCAAATGGCTCGCAGAATACGTCTTGCGGATGTCCTCAGGTTGAGTGAATATTCCATGTCCGTGT